TTCGAAGTCCGTTACTGACCGCTCTTTCTGCAAGCACTAGCGCCAGTCGGCTTACACCGCTCAAATCTTCGTTTCACTGACAAAGAAACCGTCGTCATGACACAAACCATAGTCCAAAAGTTCGAGTCGAGGTTCGTTTCTTCCGCTGCCACCATGTTATTTTTCTGTGTGCGGTTTCGACGGTCGTACTCGTGGTAAGGCAGGGACAACCAAAGCAGACGATACTACTAGTTAATCCGCCATGATGAAGTGAAGTGATACATATTCCTACGCCACACGTCGTGCTTGGCGATGATAGGATATAGTTCCTACTCGATGTACATTGATGTAGCTATAGTATATTATATTATCACAGTATTGTTCTTTAGCAACCCATGCTTGTATTAAGGGGCGACGGTGACAAGTAGGATAGGGTGATCATGCTGGCTGACTTGGTTGACACGTGACATTCTGTCCCAATACTCATGTTGTTTATCAGTGGATAGTCTCGTCCAGACTTGATGATTTACAGACTGCCATTGTACAGCTGGAATATTGCGGAGTGCAGGCGTTAAACAACAAACAAACAGCTGTAATTAGTACCATGGGTACCATGGAAGATGTACAAAGATTGTTCCAACCATACCTCACAGGTTAAATTTATTTTCGGAAATAGAGTGGAAGTGAACAAACTTTGTCTAGATGTCACTTGAAGTGAAATTGTTTCAGTAATAGTTACTTGGCAGATATGGGCCCAACACCAAGCATCATGGCAGTTGTTGGCCAGTGAGCTGAGGAGTGGAACTACAACGGAACAACTGGTCTGTGGGATGGGCTTATTTATCAGTTTGTTTGATTTGAAAGAGTAGTGACATGTACATCAACAATGAATTTTCAAATAAATATTTGTATTGCTGTATTTTTTTATGGTTAATAATCATGATGATTATTGAGGAGTTGATGTATTTTAACCGATATGAGTCAGAATGTCTTTATGCATTAATCCTGTACTCGGTTGTCAGGTTGCGAAAGAGAATTATCTGGTAGCATTAATGTTAATATGATGACATCTGATAGAAGCACAACAGCTTTAGGTCAGGTCTGGGTGTATTGATTAAGAGAATTCACGTAATGAATGTTTCGTGTTGTGGCATTGGCGAAATAATCATCAATATGTTGGTCGACGATCAATGTGGACAATTATCAAACAATATCATGTTTGCATGTGCCTCATACAGACTGATATATGCACCAAGTTTAACCTGTACTCTCTGTGGAGATGTATATACTCAGGGGTTTACCTTGACTCACTAAGACCCCCACCACAAAATATTACGGTCCTTTCAAGTAATGTGAGGGTTCTGTAAAGTGCCGTGATGGTGTCGTGTATTGTACAAACAGATTATGACTTCACTGCCTGGAATGAATCTGTGGTCGTGTGGACAATGGTCTTGACTGGTGGGTGAAATAACAGGCACAGATAACTACAGAGACTCACAGTCTGTTTGTATATCCAAGTTGAAGAGACTTGTGTCCAACAGAGACAGACAGTCTTTTTGTATATCCAAGTTGAAGAGACTTGTGTCGCACAGAGTCTGTTTGTGCACAGAGACAGACAGCCTGTTTTTATATCCAAGTTGAAGAGACTTGTGTCACACAGAGACTGACAGTCTGTTTGTATACAACATCTCTTCATACCAGTCTGTTTGTATATCCAAGTTGAAGAGACTTGTGTCCAACAGAGACTGACAGTCTGTTTGTATATCCAAGTTGAAGAGACTTGTGTCAAACAGAGACAGACAGTCTGTTTGTATACAGCATCTCTTCATACCAGTCTGTTTGTATATCCAAGTTGAAGAGACTTGTGTCACACAGAGACTGACAGTCTGTTTGTATATCCAAGTTGAAGAGACTTGTGTCCAACAGAGACAGACAGTCTGTTTGTATATCCAAGTTGAAGAGACTTGTGTCCAACAGAGACAGACAGTCTGTTTGTATATCAGAGACAGAGAGTCTGTTTGTATATCCAAGTTGAAGAGACTTGTGTCCAACAGAGACAGACAGTCTGTTTGTATATCCAAGTTGAAGAGACTTGTGTCCAACAGAGACAGACAGTCTGTTTGTATATCCAAGTTGAAGAGACTTGTGTCCAACAGAGACAGACAGTCTGTTTGTATATCCAAGTTGAAGAGACTTGTGTCACACAACAGAGACAGACAGTCTGTTTGTATATCCAAGTTGAAGAGACTTGTGTCCAACAGAGACAGACAGTCTGTTTGTATACAGCATCTCTTCATACCAGTCTGTTTGTATATCCAAGTTGAAGAGACTTGTGTCACACAGAGACTGACAGTCTGTTTGTATACAACATCTCTTCATACCAGTCTGTTTGTATATCCAAGTTGAAGAGACTTGTGTCCAACAGAGACAGACAGTCTGTTTGTATATCCAAGTTGAAGAGACTTGTGTCACACAGAGACAGACAGTCTGTCACACAGAGACAGACAGTCTGTTTGTATATCCAAGTTGAAGAGACTTGTGTCCAACAGAGACAGACAGTCTGTTTGTATACAACATCTCTTCATACCAGTCTGTTTGTATATCCAAGTTGAAGAGACTTGTGTCCAACAGAGACAGACAGTCTGTTTGTATATCCAAGTTGAAGAGACTTGTGTCCAACAGAGACAGACAGTCTATTTGTATACAGACAGACAGACAGTCTATTTGTATATCCAAGTTGAAGAGACTTGTGTCCAACAGAGACAGACAGTCTGTTTGTATATCCAAGTTGAAGAGACTTGTGTCACACAGAGATGGACAGTCTGTTTGTATACAACATCTCTTCATACCAGTCTGTTTGTATATCCAAGTTGAAGAGACTTGTGTCCAACAGAGACAGACAGTCTGTTTGTATATCCAAGTTGAAGAGACTTGTGTCACACAGAGACTGACAGTCTGTTTGTATATCCAAGTTGAAGAGACTTGTGTCCAACAGAGACAGACAGTCTGTTTGTATATCCAAGTTGAAGAGACTTGTGTCACACAGAGACTGACAGTCTGTTTGTATATCCAAGTTGAAGAGACTTGTGTCCAACAGAGACAGACAGTCTGTTTGTATATCCAAGTTGAAGAGACTTGTGTCCAACAGAGACAGACAGTCTGTTTGTATACAGCATCTCTTTATATTTCAAAGTTTAAGAGACAAGAGTATATTATTCAATTTTATTAACAGTAGCTATTCAGAAGACTTTTTTCTGTGTCAGCATACTCAGTGTCAACACACCCTCTCCCCATTGTCATAACTAGGCACTGGTGTATATTCTTCTACCTAGTGTCAACACACCCTCTCCCCATTGTCATAACTAGGCACTGGTGTATATTCTTCTACCTAGTGTCAACACACCCTCTCCCTATTGTCATAACTAGGCACTGGTGTATATTCTTCTACCTAGTGTCAACACACCCTCTCCCTATTGTCATAACTAGGCACTGGTGTATATTCTTCTACCTAGTGTCAACACACACCCTCTCCCCATTGTCATAACTAGGCACTGGTTTATATTCTTCTACCTAGTGTCAACACACCCTCTCCCTATTGTCATAACTAGGCACTGGTGTATATTCTTCTACCTAGTGTCAACACACCCTCTCCCCATTGTCATAACTAGGCACTGGTGTATATTCTTCTACCTAGTGTCAACACACCTCTCCCCATTGTCATAACTAGGCACTTGTATATAACTAGTGCACTGGTGTATATTCTTCTAGGCCTGGTGTATATTCTTCTACAGTGTCAACCTCTCCCCATTGTCATAACTAGGCACTGGTGTATATTCTTCTACCTAGTGTCAACACACCCTCTCCCCATTGTCATAACTAGGCACTGGTGTATATTCTTCTACCTAGTGTCAACACACCCTCTCCCCATTGTCATAACTAGGCACTGGTGTATATTCTTCTACCTAGTGTCAACACATCCTCTCCCCATTGTCATAACTAGGCACTGGTGTATATTCTTCTACCTAGTGTCAACACACCCTCTCCCTATTGTCATAACTCGACACTGGTGTATATTCTTCTACCTAGTGTCAACACACCCTCTCCCCATTGTCATAACTAGGCACTGGTGTATATTCTTCTACCTAGTGTCAACACACCCTCTCCCCATTGTCATAACTAGGCACTGGTGTATATTCTTCTACCTAGTGTCAACACATCCTCTCCCCATTGTCATAACTAGGCACTGGTGTATATTCTTCTACCTAGTGTCAACACACCCTCTCCCCATTGTCATAACTAGGCACTGGTGTATATTCTTCTACCTAGTGTCATAACGAAGCAATATTATATATAATTTGCCACCCAGTGTCATAATAAGGCAGTGGTATATGTTCAGCCAAATGGTGTCATCATTTTAAACATTGGTGTATGTTCTGCCAAATGGTGTCATGACTAAGCACTGATATGTGTTCTGCCAAATGGTGTCCCCACTATAAGACCTGTTCATATGTTCTGCCAAATGGTGTCATGACTAAGCACTGATATGTGTTCTGCCAAATGGTGTCCCCACTATAAGACCTGTACATATGTTCTGCCAAATGGTGTCCCCACTATAAGACCTGTACATATGTTCTGCCAAATGGTGTCCCCACTATAAAACCTGTTCATATGTTCTGCCAAATGGTGTCATGACTAAGCACTGATATGTGTTCTGCCAAATGGTGTCCCCACTATAAAACCTGTACATATGTTCTGCTCCTGGTGTCATGACTAAGCACTGATATGTGTTCAGCCAAATGGTGTCCCCACTATAAAACCTGTACATATGTTCTGCTCCTGGTGTCATGACTAAGCACTGATATGTGTTCAGCCAAATGGTGTCCCCACTATAAGACCTGTACATATGTTCTGCTCCTTGTGTCATGACTAAGCACTGATATGTGTTCTGCCAAATGGTGTCCCCACTATAAGACCTGTACATATGTTCTGCTCCTGGTGTCATGACTATATCTGTGTTTCAGAGGGATCCCTTGAGCTGCACTTTGTTCGGGACAAACAGTGAGTAGTAATGTGTTCATCGTTTACAATAGTTTACAATAACTTATGTGATGTTGTTTAGCAATAATAGTGACAATATCCAGCTGTCGTGTGAGGATTAGAAATGAAGTTCAGGATCTCCAGGTCAGAGATTACTAACAGGATGTTGTTGTCTGTACACTGACTTGGTGTCCTGTGTCATCATATTCCAACTGCGCGGTGGGCGAGCTGGCTAAGGCGCCAGGCTAGTGATCCAGCGAGGTTGAGGTGTCGGGATCGAGTCCACCTGTGACCGGGTGTAAAAACCTTGGAGTCAACTTTGTGTGCAGACTCTCTCAGTGTTGTCACAACCCCTAGTGTACAGTACACAACCCTCTGCACTTAAAAGAACCCACGAATCCGTTGGTATATGACCAGATGGTGGCCACATGAATACGTGCAAACGCCTAGTTGCGGGTATAGCAACGTGCAGTAAACATGGACAAAGCACTGTGACTATGTGTCCCAGTCCACCCAGCTGTGAATGGGTACCTCGTTAGGATCAGAAAGTTACAATAACTCGGTTCGCCTAGTGGCTGCAAGAGTTGTATAGTCCTCAGGGAGTTGAGATTGATAATGCGATGTGCCGTTGAGATTGACATCCAATGATCGAGGGAAAAAATACCAGCGCCTTGAGCATGCACTAGTGCGTGGATATGTGCGCTATATAAATATCCTATAATAATAAATAACTGCAGAGATCGATGCTCATGAAGTCAATCTCTAGATTTTCAGGTCCTGACTTCATTGTTAACAGACCACCATGATGCAGAAAGACTATTGCCAAGTGCCATTTCCCCTTTAACTTTCGCCAAGTACATATCCCGGGGCACCTGCACTTTACGGGTCCCTGCCTTCGGGACCCTAACCCTAACTTTAACCCTAGCCCTCGCTAGAGTAAACAAAATGGCGTAAACTTCCGGGAACCCGTAAAGTACAGTCTACCCCTTCAACTTCTGCCATGTGCAATTTCCTTTTAACTGCATCAATGCTGTGTTTTTGGCCAGTCCATTGACCATGCATGCTTTACCTGAAGTCGTCAACTAAGGGGATCAGATGGTCAGGCACACTGACTTGGTTGACACATGTCGTCATATCCCAATTGCATAGATCAGTGCAGTTGATCACGGGTGTTGATTACTGCTGTTGATTGTCTGGTCCTGACTCCATTATTTACAGACCTGACCCATGAAGATCCGGGGTAGAATAGGTCTTCAGCAACCCATGCTTGCCACAAAAGGCAACTATGCTTGTTGTATGAGGCAACTAACGGGATCGGGTGGTCAGGCTCGCTGACTTGGTTGGCACATGTCATTGGTTCCCAATTCCGCAGATTGATGCTCATGCTGTTGATCACTGGATTGTCTGGTTCAAACTCGATTATTTATAAACCGCCGGCATATAGCTGGAATATTGCTGAGTGCGGCGTAAAACTAAACTCACTCATTCACTCATTTACAGACCTTTGACATATAGCTGGAATATTGCTGCCATATAGCTGGAATATTGCTTGGTGCGGCGTAAAACTAAACTCACTCATTCACTCATTTACAGACCGCTGACATATAGCTGGAATATTGCTGAGTGCGGCGTAAAACTAAACTCACTCATTCACTCATTTACAGACCGCCGCCATATAGCTGGAATATTGCTTGGTGTGGCGTAAAACTAAACTCACTCATTCACTCATTTACAGACCGCCATAGAGCTGGAATATTGCTGAGTGTGGCATTAAACTAAACTCACTCATTCACTCATTTACAGACAGACTGCCATATAGCTGGAATATTGCTGAGTGTGGCGTAAAACTAAACTCACTCATTCACTCATTTACAGACCGCCGGCATATAGCTGGAATATTGCTGAGTGTGGCGTAAAACTAAACTCACTCATTCACTCATTTACAGACCGCTGCCATAGAGCTGGAATATTGCTGAGTGTGGCGTAAAACTAAACTCACTCATTCACTCATTTACAGACCGCTGCCATATAGCTGGAATATTGCTGAGTGTGGCGTAAAACTAAACTCACTCATTCACTCATTTACAGACCGCCGCCATATAGCTGGAATATTGCTGAGTGTGGCGTAAAACTAAACTCACTCATTCACTCATTTACAGACCGCCGGCATATAGCTGGAATATTGCTGAGTGTGGTGCAAAACTAAACTCACTCATTCACTCATTTACAGACCGCCCCGCCATATAGCTGGAATATTGCTGAGTGTGTGGCGTGAAAACTAAACTCACTCATTCACTCATTTACAGACCGCCCGGCATATAGCTGGAATATTGCTGAGAGTGGCGTAAAACTAAACTCACTCATTCACTCATTTACAGACCGCCGGCATAGAGCTGGAATATTGCTGAGTGTGGCGTAAAACTAAACTCACTCATTCACTCATTTACAGACCGCTGCCATAGAGCTGGAATATTGCTGAGTGTGGCGTAAAACTAAACTCACTCATTCACTCATTTACAGACCGCCGCCATAGAGCTGGAATATTGCTGGAGTGTGGTGTAAAACTAAACTCACTCATTCACTCATTTACAGACCGCCGCCATATAGCTGGAATATTGCTGAGTGTGGCGTAAAACTAAACTCACTCATTCACTCATTTACAGACCGCTGCCATATAGCTGGAATATTGCTGAGTGTGGCGTAAAACTAAACTCACTCATTCACTCATTTACAGACCGCTGCCATAGAGCTGGAATATTGCTGAGTGTGGCGTAAAACTAAACTCACTCATTCACTCATTTACAGACCGCTGCCATAGAGCTGGAATATTGCTGAGTGTGGCGTAAAACTAAACTCACTCATTCACTCATTTACAGACCGCCGGCATATAGCTGGAATATTGCTGAGTGTGGCGTAAAACTAAACTCACTCATTCACTCATTTACAGACCTTTGACACATAGCTGGAATATTGCTTGGTGGGGCGTAAAACTAAACTCACTCATTCACTCATTTACAGACCGCCGCCATAGAGCTGGAATATTGCTGAGTGTGGTAAAACTAAACTCACTCATTCACTCATTTACAGACCGCTGCCATAGAGCTGGAATATTGCTGAGTGTGGCGTAAAACTAAACTCACTCATTCACTCATTTACAGACCGCCGCCATATAGCTGGAATATTGCTGAGTGTGGCGTAAAACTAAACTCACTCATTCACTCATTTACAGACCGCCATAGAGCTGGAATATTGCTGAGTGTGGCGTAAAACTAAACTCACTCATTCACTCATTTACAGACCGCCGGCATATAGCTGGAATATTGCTGAGTGTGGCGTAAAACTAAACTCACTCATTCACTCATTTACAGACCGCCGGCATATAGCTGGAATATTGCTGAGTGTGGCGTAAAACTAAACTCACTCACTCACTCATTTACAGACCGCCGCCATATAGCTGGAATATTGCTTGGTGCGGCATTAAGCATCAAACAAACAAACCTAACGTCATCAGTGTCCCTACCAATAAACAATGCCTTGTTCTGGTAATGAAGTCATATTTTATGAGTGCTTTGATTGAAAAAATGATCAATCTTGGTGATCTTATGAATACTTTATCATATTTGCTCACAAGGACTGATATTATCTGGGAACCTACTTTGTTCAAATTGTTTAATTTTGTCCTGTAGCAAATTGTGTCCTACATTTTAACCATGTGATAGTGATCAGGATAAATCTAATGGTGAAGGGCCATGATTGTCTTTGTCATATGGTTTATTTAAAGGTCACATGCAACCAAAAAGTCAAACATAATTAAAACACAATTATCACTTATTCATGATATATAAAATACATTGCTGATTATGAAAAAACATATAAACAAAATTATAATCGTACAATCGCAAATCAAAAGTGTAATATTTTGTACTTGGGTTTACTTCCCTCAAAACGAAGGACCCGGGATACCGAACCCAGTCAGAGCGGGTGGGTGTGCACTCAAGTGTAACGAAGACTTTCATTGGCTGGTTCGTTTGCCGATCCCCTTAGGGCTCATTGTGTGTGTGTCTGTGCCTGTCTGTGTTATTACATAATGTGACAGAGACCCAACTCTGGTGCACGAGCCATAAATCAATGCGTTTTGTTTATGGTGTATAGCCTGATAGGTGTTAAGTTCAAATTGCATGTGGTCAGTGATTGAAGTTGTGTCCTGCATATTGTCCTTAGCAGACAGGCAGGCAGACACATAGGTGTCAATAAAACAGACATTTAGTTTTGTCTATGACAAAGACATATCTATATCACAGTTAGAAATTCTGTCAATGCTAAATAATGACATTGCTTTAAGTATCGAACTGAAAAAGTGACTCGGTAAGAAGAACGTGTGGTGAAATAGACAAATGAAATTGTATAAACAGTTAAATGGGTAATCTACTGTCATAACATATAAAAAGCTTGCGCCTGTGAAATATCAACAAAACATTAGAAAAATAGCTCATATCAAAGCCTTCACCGAGTACTCACTGCCAGCGAAGGTTTTCCGTCTTGAAATGTCGAACACCTCACTGGTTGACACATAGCTGAGTAGATCTAGATCCTAACAAGGTATTTTTATGTAACGAGTAGATTATTTACTATTTGTTTTGATTAGACTACTCCTGCTCACGACCTTATAATCCGGACATCCCGCTTCCAAAGCTGCGCGAACCTATTCACTGCGGCACCTATGTAACAAATTACTGAGGACCTCTTCACAACCAGAGGTGTGATGAATAGCTTAAAAGAAATCAGATGCAAGCTCATCATGTGATAAACAATGATTTGCTGTTCACAAGACATTTCTTGTTTGCAGGTTGCAGGAATGGCATCCTTCCGGCTCACCTGGGAGGTCCATTCATGGGGTCCCCTCACTCTCTGAAGGTGGAAGGAGCATACGTCACAAATCCAGTAGGAAACCGCAACCCACAGCTGGTTATCACCTGGAAGCCCCCTGCAACAGGTACAAGCTCTGCTGGGTCGATATGTCGTTTAGGAAGACAGACTTTTATATATGACAGAAAATGTTCGGACCAAGTTACTAAGTGTTAGCATGTCATGAACTCCCCAAATAACAGACACCCTGTGTAGGGGATAAGTGAGTGAGTGAGTATAGTTTTATGCCACTTTTAGTAATATTCCATCAATATCGCGGTCACCAGAAATGTCCTTCACACATCGTACCCATGTGGGGAATCAAGTCTTCAGCATGATGAGCGAATGCTTTAACCACTAGGCTACCCCGTCCCCCTTGTGGGACAAGATCTGGTTGGCCAGGGTGGTAGTCTAGTGGCCGAGGCACTGCTCCAGATAGGTTTCACCATCAGGAGTATGTACGAGAAGAACAAGCATGAGGTGTATTTCTTCCCCAATCTAACATGGTGGCATACTTGCCTGTATATTCCTGAACGTGATGCTCTACTAATTTTAAAGTTTATCTTATCTGCATAGTTTTGGGCTGTACATATGCCTATACCACTTGAATTGAAGCACTGTCAAGGATACGCTGTGGCTAAATGGACAAGGAAGGACATTTATATCCATGTTTGGGAGCGGTGAGGTAGCCTTGTGGTTACGACGTTCGCTTGTCATGCTGAAGATCCAGGTTCGATTCCCCACATGAGCACAATGTGTGAAGCCCATTTCTGGTGTCCCCGGCCGTGATATTGCTGGAATATTGCTAAAAGCGGCGTAAAACTAAACTCACTCACTCACTCACTCACTCACTATATCCATGTTTGGTTGTGTTTTGCAGCTGCTGGCTTCAGTCATCTGAAGGGGTTCTATGTGGAAATACGTAGATTAACGGGGATCACCACCAGACCTGATTTTTATTGCCGTGTGTTTGACTTGAGTCAGAACAACTTTACAACTCAGGACTACAAGGTATGTACATATGGATAATGTATTCCAACACTGCAGTGAGAAAAGTAGTTTCACTGTTTCTTGTAACTAGTCAAACTAATCAGGACCATCACAGATGAATTGAAAGCATCAGCTAAACTACAGTTTTGTAAACTGTGATAAGTGTCTATATAGAGATTTTACTCAGATAAATTATAAGTCAAGTTTATTGCCATGCACTATGGAGCTGTGTATCGTGGCCTAAGTGGCGAGACGATATATCCCGATACCAGTTTAATGAGGCGAGACGATATATATCCTAAAAGTATTGGCAAGGAACCTGCGAGATGATTTATCATCATGATACAATGGTGGCGATACGATACATATCCTGATACTTTACAATTTCTTATAACAGAACAGATATGATAGATAAAATGACTGAAACTTTATTTGTTATACAGCAGAACTTGTGTTACATTCACACACACCTAAACAGTTGTTGATCAAATAAAGTTTCAGCATTTAATGCTTAAGAAAGTACAGTCAAACATATTCAGCATACCTTTATCTAATATATATATATATTTGAAAGTGAAGTTTCCTTTAGGAAGTTGTGTTTCTACACCAGTGCTTTCACAAACAATTCAATGTAATTTATATCAGAATTCAGAATCACTGTAAAAAAACTGTTAAGTCTGCTTCTGTATCTTCTATTTGTTCTCTTTCATAACAAAGGTAAGACATCGTTCATAGTTGTTGATACTGTTATTTGTCAAACAACTAAAACATATTTCAATTACTTGAAGACAAGTTTTCTACAGTTCACACAGTTTGTAAAATGTTCAACTTATACACCAACTCCTTTGTTCATGTAACAAAGATAACAGACACAAACAAATTCCTTTAAAGTTCAATTTGTTTTAATTCGGGATTTCAAAGAGACTCCTTTCCTATTACTAATGCAATATTCCTTACAACTTTAAGTAGTATTCAAGTTGTATCATGATATATCGTCTCTTGTGGTGATACATCGATGCATCATGGACCCTTGCGATATAAATATCCTGATATATTGCCTAAATGTGTTTTGTATCGATGCACTCGTATCGCGTAGTTGACGATGTAAACATCGATACTATCGATGAATTGTTACACCACTAATGCACTATAGTCCGTTTGGCTCAAAATCGGACCGATGAATTGCAATCTAACTCGAAAACTACTAAACATATAGTACTCAATGAAACACTAATCATAATCATAACATCAGACCAACTCTGTGATTTCTTTTCAGAACTTATGTCCTAAAAATAAAAAAGTGTTTAACAAACTATCATTAAGATCTTGACACAGTTCACTATTTGTTACAAGGGAGGCTTGCAAAGGGAGGAACAGCCAGGTGTGCAGAAAAGGATGGAGACGGCACAGCACAGGTTAATGAATTAATGACTTTGTCGGCACTCCGTGTACAACTGGCTGTTCCTCCCTTTGCAGTCCTCCCTCGCTGTCATGTGACTGGAATGCTCACTGATTGAGTCCATGGTTACTATTGTTCAGTATGCCATACCTGTATCCCCTGTTGGGATATCTACTACACCAAGTCATGTATTATTGTATTATATCTCTCAATTTCAGCTGGAATTCAAAAAGAAAATGATGGGATATCCTTCTGGGAGCGATTTCTTGTATCAAATGAAGATATATACCTTGCCAATGGCAGCAGAATCAACTCCGAAGTCCACCTTCTTTAAACTTCAGCCTTTTCTTGGTAATATTTCAACATTTTTCTCAGATGAGATGAAATGTAATTAATAAGTCATGAAGTCATAGAGTAAATTGAAATTATGTTGTTTACATGTTGGGGGGTTGAGTTTAACTGACATGGAGCCCCATTTTACTTTTTAGCATCTGTTTGAAAAGGAACAGTGTTTAGGTTTTGTTTCAATTTGACCATTGTTTCTGCTAGTGGTTTCCTACAAAGGTTACTGATGTCATCTGTCAGTTTTCCCATGACTCGATTCAAAGGCTTCAGGAAATTCTTTTGGTACATGTTGTAATTAGGTCACAGATTAGGCCAGGAGATACACAAGTTTATGGTTACACATCTCAAAAGATACTCATAGACAATCTCACCTAAGTGTCTTTTGCTATAAATATATCAATACCAGACTGTTTTAAACGTTTACTTTCTGCAATTGTTCAACTTATTCTGCATTTTGGAATTTGAACGTGAAATATTCATAGTGGAAGTTAAAGTGGAACTGTACAATGTGGAACTTCAGTCGGAAATACACACTGTGCAAGTTAATGGTTGTCATCAAACTATGAACATACATTAGCAGTTCAACTATTTCAACAGTATGGCAGAATTGTGCTTTCGTTTGTGAATGCTTTGTCTCCCCAGTTGAAATTCTTGACTAATATTGCAGCAAAGGGAAAAACTACGGCAGCAAACTGGTCGACCTCAATGTCCTACGAGACTGATAACCTCACAGCACCAGCAAGGATTACAGTGCTGTTCAGCCTGGCACCGAAAGAGTATAATATCAAGAAGTATAACATTGAGCTGGTTAGCAGTCTTGATGCTAAAAATGTAATGTTCCACTGCATCATCAACACACTGGACGATTACACATGTCAGGGAAAAGTAAGTGCATATGTTCTTAAGTATTCCCAGTCTGATTTATTGCCATAGGTCATGGAACCATGTGTCAAGAAAGAGCCCTCTACAGGGAATATACACCATAAGCAAAAGTTGTTTTAATCAACTGTTGGGCATCAATGCTAGAGAATGACCAATCATATCCACTGAAGTCTGTAATGTGATGATAGTAAGAGAGACTGTTTAGTTTTACGCCGCTTTTAGCAATATTCCAGCAACATAACAGCGGTTGACACCAGAAATGGGCTTCACACATTGTACCCATGTGGGGAATCGAACCTGGGTCTTTGGCATGAGTCAATGCTTTATCCCCTAGGCTACCCCACCGCCAATGTGATGATGGTACTAAAATCACAATTTATGAAGCTATATATATACTTCATCATTAGAGATGTGTCTGCATTATGCCATTGGGTGTACAGGTGTGCCATTGGGTGTACATGTGTCATTGGGTGTACATGTTTGTCAATGGGTATACAGGTGTGCCATTGGGTGTACAGGTGTGTCAATGGGTGTACAGGTGTGTCATTGGGTGTACAGGTGTGTCAATGGGTGTACAGGTGTGTCATTGGGTGTACAGGTGTGTCATTGGGTGTACAGGTGTGTCATTGGGTGTACAGGTGTGTCATTGGGTGTACAGGTGTGTCATTGGGTGTACAGGTGTGTCATTGGGTGTACAGGTGTGTCATTGGGTGTACAAGTGTGTCATTGGGTGTACAGGTGTGTCATTGGGTGTACAAGTGTGTCATTGGGTGTACAGGTGTGTCATTGGGTGTACAGGTGTGTCATTGGGTGTACAGGTGTGTCATTGGGTGTACAGGTGTGTCATTGGGTGTACAGGTGTGTCAATGGGTGTACAGGTGTGTCATTGGGTGTACAGGTGTGTCAATGGGTGTACAGGTGTGTCATTGGGTGTACAGGTGTGTCATTGGGTGTACAGGTGTGTCATTGGGTGTACAGGTGTGTCATTGGGTGTACAGGTGTGTCATTGGGTGTACAGGTGTGTCATTGGGTGTACAGGTGTGTCATTGGGTGTACAGGTGTGTCATTGGGTGTACAGGTGTGTCATTGGGTGTACAGGTGTGTCATTGGGTGTACAGGTGTGTCATTGGGTGTACAGGTGTGTGTACAGGTGTGTCATTGGGTGTACAGGTGTGTCATTGGGTGTACAGGTGTGTCATTGGGTGTACAGGTGTGTCAATGGGTGTACAGGTGTGTCATTGGGTGTACAGGTGTGTCATTGGGTGTACATGTGTGTCATTGGGTGTACAGGTGTTAAATGGTGTACAGGTGTGTCATTGGGTGTACAGGTGTGTCATTGGGTGTACAGTGTGTGTACAGGTGTGTCATTGGGTGTACAGGTGTGTCATTGGGTGTACAGGTGTGTCATTGGGTGTACAGGTGTGTCATTGGGTGTACAGGTGTGTCATTGGGTGTACAGGTGTGTCATTGGGTGTACAGGTGTGTCATTGGGTGTACATGTTTGTCAATGGGTGTACAGGTGTGTCATTGGGTGTACAGGTGTGTCATTGGGTGTACAGGTGTGTCATTGGGTGTACAGGTGTGTCATTGGGTGTACAGGTGTGTCATTGGGTGTACAGGTGTGTCATTGGGTGTACAGGTGTGTCATTGGGTGTACAGGTGTGTCAATGGGTGTACAGGTGTGTCATGGGTGTACAGGTGTGTCAATGGGTGTACAGGTGTGTCATTGGGTGTACAGGTGTGTCATTGGGTGTACAGGTGTGTCATTGGGTGTACAGGTGTGTCATTGGGTGTGTTGGTGTACAGGTGTGTCATTGGGTGTACAGGTGTGTCATTGGGTGTACAGGTGTGTCATATGGGTGTACAGGTGTGTCATTGGGTGTACAGGTGTGTCATTGGGTGTACACGTTTGTCATTGGGTGTACAGGTGTGTGTCAATGGGTGTACAGGTGTGTCAATGGGTGTACAGGTTTGTCATTGGGTGTACAGGTGTGTCATTGGGTGTACAGGTGTGTCATTGGGTGTACAGGTGTGTCATTGGGTGTACAGGTGTGTCATTGGGTGTACAGGTGTGTCAATGGGTGTACAGGTGTGTCATTGGGTGTACAGGTGTGTCATGGGTGTACAGGTTGTCAATGGGTGTACAGGTGTGTCATTGGGTGTACAGGTGTGTCATTGGGTGTACAGGTGTGTCATTGGGTGTACAGGTGTGTCATTGGGTGTACACGTTTGTCAATGGGTGTACAGGTGTGTCATTGGGTGTACAGGTGTGTCAATGGGTGTACAGGTGTGTCATTGGGTGTACAGGTGTGTCATTGGGTGTACATGTTGTCATTGGGTGTACAGGTGTTAAATGGTGTACAGGTGTGTCAATGGGTGTACAGGTGTGTCATTGGGTGTACAGGTGTGTCATTGGGTGTACAGGTGTGTCATTGGGTGTACAGGTGTGTCATTGGGTGTACAGGTGTGTCATTGGGTGTACATGTTTGTCAATGGGTATACAGGTGTGTCATTGGGAGTACAGGTGTGTCATTGGGTGTACAGGTGTGTCAATGGGTGTACAGGTGTGTCATTGGGTGTACAGGTGTGTCATTGGGTGTACATGTTTGTCAATGGGCGTACAGGTGTTACCATTTGTGTTTTGTCCAGCCGTTCCCGAAACCAACAGAGGATGCTGAGACCATAGAACACACCTTCTATGATCTTCCACCAGCTATATACAAAGTATGGGTGAGTGTATGTTTTCCAGCTGTTCCCCTGATTGAACACATAAATTTGGTATTTATGAGCCAAGTGGAGCTGTAGTGAGTCTTGATGTTATCGTGTATACCTAATGTTTGTCACCCAGATTTTCATATTTTATGTCAGAATTAATGTTTTGCTTGTTAACAGATATAATTTTGATGCAGATATATTTTAAAGTTATCCTATCTCATGTTGTCTACTTGCTCTTGTTCTTTTGACTGTGAAGCGAAATGATCTGAAACAAAAGTTTCCATCTTCTTGTAACACCTTGCCCGAACACACCTCTGCTCCATCTAGTGTTGTACACAACCACAGGAAGCTCATGCAAAACATGTGTCTTGTCCTGGCCGACCATGTCACACCTACTTAAGTCATTCTCTTTCTTGTTGCCTACGATCCATCATCTTACATATCTATATAGAAGGGTTGAGGAGGTTATGACATACCTTTATTCACCTTATTAGTCGTCATGGGATGATAGGATCTGCTACAAATGGCAATGGACGTTTCTTTTGATGATACTCACTCATCAAATGTCAAAACCTTCAGTCCACTAAATTATGACCAGTGTGTAGGAAGGTATGCCTTGTCAATTTAAAGAGATTTCAAGGCGCATCCTAGATGCTTCTCAGTAACCCGTCCCATTAGTTCAATCGAAAGTGGTGGTTATAATGTAGTGTAATGTAATAATGGATTTTTATGCCTCCTGGTGTCCAACTTGAAGCTGTTCAGCAGCGCATCACAAAGTCTAGAAGGGATTTTTACCCCGGATAACCCAAGATGCCTGTGAGGCGGTAGAAGGTTAATAGTCACTTCTTCAACATAGTAGTTGGAACTCTTTGTCAAACCCTGGTCAGGCAAAACCCACCCAGCGTCCTCATCCATAACATCAGGAACCACAGCTAGCAACGCTTCAAACATCCTTTGATATGTTTTTAGACAAGTTAGTGATAGCAGTAGATGGTCTGCCCCTTGTCATCAGTAGATGGTCCTCCCCTGTCATCTGTAGATGGTCCTCCCTTGTCATCAGTAAATGGTCTGTCCCTGTCATCAGTAGATGGTCTCCCCCTGTCATCAGTACATGGTCATGTCTCCTGTCATCAGTAGATGGTATGTCTCCTGTCATCAGTACATGGTCTGTCCCCTGTCATCAGTAGATGGTATGTCTCCTGTCATCAGTAGATGGTCTGTCCCCTGTCATCAGTAGATGGTCTGTCCCCTGTCATCAGTACATGGTCTGTCCCTGTCATCAGTAGATGGTCTGCCCCTTGTCATCAGTACATGGTCTGTCCCCTGTCATCAGTAGATGGTCTGTCCCTTGTCATCAGTACATGGTCTGTCCCCTGTCATCAGTAGATGGTCTGCCCTTGTCATCAGTACATGGTCTGTCCCCTGTCATCAGTACATGGTCTGTCCCCCTTGTCATCAGTAGATGGTCCATCTCCTGTCATCAGTAGATGGTCTGCCCCTGTCATCAGTCAGTAGATGGTCTGTCCCCTGTCATCAGTAGATGGTCTGCCCCTGTCATCAGTAGATGGTCTGCCCTTGTCATCAGTAGATGGTCTGCCCCCTGTCATCAGTAGATGGTCTGCCCCTTGTCATCAGTAGATGGTCTGTCTCCTGTCATCAGTAGATGGTCTGTCCCCTGTCATCAGTAGATGGTCTGCCCCTTGTCATCAGTACATGGTCTGTCCCCTGTCATCAGTAGATGGTCTGTCCCTTGTCATCAGTAGATGGTCCTCCCCTTGTCATCAGTAGATGGTCTGTCCCTTGTCATCAGTAGATGGTCTGTCCCCTGTCATCAGTAGATGGTCTGCCCTTGTCATCAGTAGATGGTCTGTCCCCTGTCATCAGTAGATGGTCTGTCCCCTGTCATCAGTAGATGGTCTGCCCCTTGTCATCAGTAGATGGTCTGTCCCCTGTCATCAGTAGATGGTCTGCCCCTGTCATCAGTAGATGGTCTGCCCCTTGTCATCAGTAGATGGTCTGTCCCATCATCAGTAGATGGTCTGTCCCTTGTCATCAGTAGATGGTCCTCCCTGTCATCAGTAAATGGTCTGTCCCCTGTCATCAGTAGATGGTCTGTCTGTCATCAGTAGATGGTCTGCCCCTGTCATCAGTAGATGGTCTGTCCCTGTCATCAGTACATGGTCTGTCCCCTGTCATCAGTAGATGGTCTGTCCCCTGTCATCAGTAGATGGTCTGTCCCTTGTCATCAGTAGATGGTCTGTCCCTTGTCATCAGTAGATGGTCTGTCCCTTGTCATCAGTAGATGGTCTGTCTCCTGTCATCAGTAGATGGTCTGTCCCCTGTCATCAGTAGATGGTCTGTCCCCTGTCATCAGTAGATGGTCTGTCCCCTGTCATCAGTAGATGGTCTGTCCCCTGTCATCAGTAGATGGTCTGCCCCATGTCATCAGTAGATGGTCTGTCCCCTTGTCATCAGTAGATGGTCTGTCCCCTGTCATCAGTAGATGGTCTGTCCCTTGTCATCAGTAGATGGTCTGTCCCTGTCATCAGTAGATGGTCTGTCCCCTGTCATCAGTAGATGGTCTGTCCCTGTCATCAGTAGATGGTCTGTCCCCTGTCATCAGTAGATGGTCTGTCCCTTGTCATCAGTCAGATGGTCTGTCCCCTGTCATCAGTAGATGGTCTGTCCCCCCTTGTCATCAGTAGATCATAGTAGATGGTCCCTTGTCATCAGTAGATGGTCTGTCCCATCATCAGTAGATGGTCTGCCCCTTGTCATCAGTAGATGGTCTGTCCCCTGTCATCAGTAGATGGTCTGTCCCCTGTCATCAGTAGATGGTCTGTCCCCCTTGTCATCAGTACATGGTCTGTCCCCTGTCATCAGTAGATGGTCTGCCCCTTGTCATCAGTAGATGGTCTGTCCCTTGTCATCAGTAGATGGTCTGTCCCCTGTCATCAGTAGATGGTCTGCCCTTGTCATCAGTACATGGTCTGTCCCCTGTCATCAGTAGATGGTCTGTCCCCTGTCATCAGTAGATGGTCTGCCCTGGTCATTAGTAGATGGTCTGTCCCCTGTCATCAGTAGATGGTCTGTCCCCTGTCATCAGTAGATGGTCTGCCCCTTGTCATCAGTAGATGGTCTGTCCCCTGTCATCAGTAGATGGTCTGCCCCTTGTCATCAGTAGATGGTCCTCCCTTGTCATCAGTAGATGGTCTGCCCCTTGTCATCAGTACATGGTCTGTCCCCTGTCATCAGTAGATGGTCTGTCCCCTGTCATCAGTACATGGTCTGTCCCCTGTCATCAGTAGATGGTCTGTCCCCTGTCATCAGTAGATGGTCCTCCCCTTGTCATCAGTAAATGGTCTGTCTTCTGCCATCAGTAGATGGTCTGTCCCCTGTCATCAGTTGATGGTGTGCCCCTTGTCATCAGTACATGGTCTGTCCCCTGTCATCAGTAGATGGTCTGCCCCTTGTCATCAGTAGATGGTCTGCCCCTTGTCATCAGTAGATGGTCTGTCCCATCATCAGTAGATGGTCTGCCCCTTGTCATCAGTAGATGGTCTGCCCCTTGTCATCAGTAGATGTCTGCCCCCTGTCATCAGTAGATGGTCTGCCCCCTGTCATCAGTACATGGTCTGTCCCTTGTCATCAGTAGATGGTCTGTCTCCTGTCATCAGTAGATGGTCTGTCTCCTGTCATCAGTAGATGGTCAGTGCATATAATCATTGTATGAAATAATTCCTGTCTGACAGCCCGAGACAGTCTAGATTTCTGACAGACAGTCATAATTTACAGCTAGCCAGCCCAGTGGTCTGGTACAAATTTTAGATGTTCCATACATATGAGTAAATTCACCATATTTGGTTTGGTTAAATCCATTTTGGGCTGGTAACATTTTGAAGTTACCAGCCCTGATGTCTGGCTGGATTTTTGGCTTATTTCATACACTGATGTAATAGTTCTATTTCTAATCAAAGCTGGCCTTCTAGGTCGCATATAATTCCAAACAACCCTAAGAGTAGTAAAACACAACCTGGAAAAAAACAACCGAAAGCAAAAAAATAAACCCAGACAAATACCAACCTAATCCCCACCCCATACTTCTTCTCCCCTACCACTCTTGGCAAATGTCCAAATTCAAAATTCATACAAAAATTAATTATGCAACCCTAGCACCCTGTTTAGTTTAATGTATTCACTGCCCATATTCCCTTGAACATGCCCAAGCCATAGTTGTTCATATTTGTGTGATCACAGATTATTTTTTGTCAAAGTCACATTTGTCAAGAGGCAGTGATAAGTAAAAAATATATAAATAATTAATTTTTTTCAAACTCTATCACTGCAAGTATTCCAACAGAAAGAGAGTAAGAAATATAAACAATATCAAATAAGAAAACAAATAAATAAATTCACTCACCATATTAGCACCCCTGTTGTTAGGTCTCGGAATACAAAGGAAGTTAGTTTCGGTAAAGTTTGTGTATCCAAGACTACAAAAATACCTCTAAATATTTTATGCAAAGAATTTTGGTGATTTCTCCTTTGAATGATCTGGTGAAACGTTTATCTCAGATTACACAATGCCATTTAGAAAGTGGTAGTGTAACATATGTTATATTTGGGATTACACTTTCTTAGTAAAGTACAAATTCTAGTACTTTTTAAGTTGAGCCCCATCCGGGATTCGAACTCACACCCTCAGAGTCAGGTACCTAATCGCCAGCACACAAAGTCAGCCGCCTAACCCGCTCAGCTACCGAGACTTCCACAAAAAATGGAAGTCGGACAACTGGTAGTCTAGACTGCGGGCTTTGTTTACCCCTCTGATAAGTGTTAATTGGCACGGCTCCCACAGCCGAAAGCTATGATTACACAATGCCAAATATAACATATGTTACATTTCACCACTTTCTAAATGGCATTGTGTAATCATAGCTGTGGGAGCCGTACATAATTAACACTTATCAGAGGGACAACAAAGCCCGCAGTCTAGACTACCACTGGTAGTCCGACTTCCATTTTTGTGGAATCGCGGTAGCTGAGTGGGTTAGGCGGCTGACTTTGTGTGCTGGCGATTAGGTGCCTGACTCTGAGGGTGTGAGTTCGAATCCCGGATGGGGCTCAACTTAAAAAGTACTAGAATTTGTACTTTACTAAGAAAGTGTAATCCCAAATATAACATATGTTACGTTTATAAATCTCAGTTTGAGCATTATAAGTAGTTGTGTGGTGGTTTGGTTTAAAGCACAGAATAATCTCAAATCCAACTTGCATGTATGACATGTCAGCTGAGTGAGTGAGTGAGTGAGTTTGGTTTTACGCCACTTTTAGCAATATTCCAGCAATGTCACAGCGTAGGACACTAGAATTGGGCCTCACACATTGTAAACCAAAAGTCACTGTGTTCTTTAATCTAATTGCTTGAAAAACATGATCGAATGGTATTCGATTCCTGGAAATTTGCTGCACATTAATACGTATAAACATCGCTCACACTATTGTATTGTTACGTCGTCAGCTGTGATGACGTCATTCAAATCATATTGTCTGAATGACGTTACAAATGAGCAGTTCCAGATGGTACCATGGGAGACAGCCGAAACGGACGGCTGATGACATTTCACTGCTGTACCCGTACTTGATGTCAATGAGTGCAGGCACAAAAATGTGTGTGGACCTTTTGGTTTACTTTTGTGTTTACACTGTCGATAAACATCATGTGTTGGCCAATTTCCGGGTGTTATTGAGTATTTGAAGCACAGGAATATTTCATGTGAAACCTGCGGCTGATGCCATCAGTTGCAAATGAATTCCCATGCTTTAAATACTCAATAACACCCGGAAATTGGCCAACACATGATGTTTATCTCCTAAATGTACCCATGTGGGGAATCGAACCCAGGTCTTAGGCGTGACGAGCGAGCACTTTAACCACTTGACTACCCCACCGTCCCTCATGTCAGCTGAAAGTAATGTAAAACGTTTATGTTGTTTTCCCCAATCGTGAAGAAATTAGTGTCAGCAGAGCAATGATCCAAACCACAATGGCCTAAAATAAACACACTCCCCAAGTTTCTTGTTTCATGATTGTCTTAGTCAATTCAACTTGTGATTGTTAACAGGATCACCCCCACCTACAGTACCAGCACCTGCAGATGCCACCTCACCAGCAGATGGCCCAGCCACCACCTCACCAGCAGACGGCTCCGACACCACCACCCAGGAGCCTCCTCACATTGGGAAGTCAAGTAAGGACTGCTGCAATGCATCTGTGTAACTACTGCTAACAGCAATAAATCATCTTCGCTTGTCTGTCACCATGTCATGGTTTCTTTCCTTTGCTTTCGGTTACTCTTGATTGCACAGTGTATTTTGTGTACCTTGATTCTGTAAGGATCATCACTTTGGAGCAACTTATCACCCTACCTTGTGTAGATTGATGTTCATGCTGTGTGCCGATTTACTGAGGGGAGACATTGTAAAACAAAATCGTTATTGAAATAATCAAAGATTGGTTGCAGTGAGCAAACGACCAAGCAATTGATCACATTTTCTCATAATTGAACACAAACGATTTTGGTTTTAGGGTTTGCTTTCTCACCTTGTACGCATGTCGTTGGTGCAAGTTTGTCTTGATTTGGATGAAGAACGTCCTTCAGACTTGACGAGCCTATCGAGTCGAGTAGTTGGTTGAGTTCCACGTTAGACGCTAGGTCCCTCGTTGGCATAGGTTTCGTTGTTACGGTGTTGCCGGACTCCGTCTTCCCCTTCTCGTCTCTCAGTGTTATGATGACACGCTCAAGTAACTTTCGTTGTGCGAGCCGTAGACTCAAACTCAAACTGTCAATGTCTGTTTTATCAAACTCTGCTAACTCGGACGGTTTATGGAAGTCTTCTTTTATTAATTTAGAAATTGAGCTATCAGTAAAGCCTTTATCTTTGAGACAGTCGTTGAAACTCTCAATTTCATACTTCGCCGCCATACTTTCCATACGTTCAGCTTGCACGTCCGTATGCTCAGCCTGCATGTCCGTACGCTCAGCTTGCATGTCCATATGCTCAGCTTGCACGTCCGTACGCTCAGCTTGCAAGTGAGGGACTGACACCTGATGAAAAGAACCTGTGCAGCGCATGCATCCCTTGAGCATTCTGGCATCGCCGGAGATTGCCGAGTTAAATCCAAATAAATATATATATATTTAGTACGAAACACTTAAGTTTGGAACATATCTTAGAAGTTGTCAGGGCCTGAAAGCATGTTTAAGTCTTAGAAAACTCACTTCACTTACTGAAATGTCATGTAGTAGCAAGTTATATCATTTTACATTGGATGTGAATTTTGCAAATGCGATTTGCGCAGTTTCTAGATAAAACTACAAAAAACAACAACAGAGAACCTCATTATACTTATCTGCTATAACAACCTGAACAATAAAATCTGGAAAATGATGCTAACCAATTATTTTTCGATAATTGCTCGTTGGTAATGAACCAACATCAGTTGTGAGATTTCAACCAATTCCCAACACTATTATGAAAGGGAGGTAATCGCATAACACTCAAATGCATGTACTAAGATGTGAAGCCAATATTGCTAGTATTGTTTTATACTGTGCTGGTTTTATATAGTGGAAGTTTGATTAGTGAAATATTTATTTGATAACAGTTTGTCACTGTGCTGATGTATTTATTGCCTACATTCTCTTTGAAGTTTTTGATAGACATTTAGGAGTGTGACGGCCTTGAGTACATGACACTTTGTAATGATTACATCCGATGGAGCAAGAAGTATCAGAAATACTTTCTGAACTTTCTTTCTGTACTTTATTAATCAGAAAAATTTTCAGTCTCTTTTATGGCAAAAATATATCATCATGATTCCCACTAAAGTACTGTCGGAAATGCTAGAAAAATGCTTTTTAGCCTTAATATCTTTAGAAAGGTGATAAATGTATTATGTTGTCAATATATCAACTCACCTATAGTGTACCTAATTTTTATTTCAATTGATTTAACATTCCCATGCATTTAAAGGGCAGTTTACAGGAGAGAATTTGGTACCAAAACAACAACTTAAGATTTTTTCAGAGTGAGTGCAACAGAAATCTGAAATAGTCTTTACATTTATGCTAATAATACAGGTGGTGTAAAAATATAAATTAACGTTTTTTACTTAACTTAATTATCGTTTCTTTATTGAAGAAATATTAATATAAATGTTAAGTCTTGATAAATAAGTTTCCGTCATGCATGCACATCTTTATCACAGCGTCCACTATGGCCAACTATTTGCAGACGATTGTTGCAAAGGTTTATAAGTTTTTGTGCTTGAAAAAGACAGAGGTAAACCTTTCATTAGTATAGAAATGGTTTATTACAGACCTTGTAGAGCTGTTGGTATGTCTTACCAACAAGTTTACAATATTGTAAACAAATCAGACAAGACAGGGACCGTCTCAAAAGCAAAACCGGGACATAAAACCATCCTTGACAACTCTGACAAGGGAGTACTTAGACGGGCGGTCTACAAACTTTATGAGAAGAAGAATATATATATTCTAAAGAAGCTACACCAGTGACTTCGTTAAATCTTTGGCCAATGTTCACAACTAGATTAAACTGACCGAATTACATCCATATTTTTGCAATGAAATATACTGTTGACATGCAAAACATTTATTAAAACGTTGCACATTTCTACAATCAATCGATAAGATAACACAAGTGATAGGATTCTTTCCAATGTACAGTAATTCGTATGTTTATTTCACAATAAACACACATACACAAATGATCCCTTACATAACCAATACGTATACTACACGTACACATATTCAACATTTTGAAGAAAACATCTGTTGAGATGACCCCTCGCCTGAGCGTGTGCTCAGGTGTCAATTTCACCTGTCGATACTGTGCATGCTGATGACGTAGCACAAGAAGTTAATGTTTGTCTCACATAACGTCCAACTACCCCTTATTTTTCTAAGTTTTTGGTATTTTCATCAGTAAAAACGCATTTTAGGGCATGTCTCAAAATTTATTCCCTCGGTCTACATTAGGTAGATGTTTCTTAAAGTGATATTTGTTATTTAAGTAACTGTAATACCTCTGAATTTAAATATAAGTCAAAAAGCATTTTCTAGCATTTCCGACAGTACTTTAGTCAACTAGCACAAACTAATAAATTGGGTATATTCAATATTCTTTTTGACTAGTAACACTGAAATGCCATAAATCTGAACCAGTTCTCAGCTTTGCTAAAAATAGAAAATGTGAAACTGACATTTCAGTCATGTTCATGCAAGACAATCAACGAACACAGATTTTTTTGCTTTCTACTGAAAGACTTCAGATCCAAAGACAAAAGTCATGTCAGAACAACCTTTCACAACTTTTGACAACCAGAAAATTTAGATTAGCCAGTCATGAAGCATCTTTCTCACGCATTGTCGGTTGGCGGACCCAGGGGTGTGTGTGTGTGTGTGTGTGTGTTCAGGGGGTTCGACAACCCCCCCACCCCACCCCCCTTGAAAATGACTAAAGACCGCATTGAAGATTTTTTTTGCGTTGAAAAACACACACAAATACTTATATTTTCGCAAGACGACATCCTTGAATATTGACAAAAACACTATTTTCAGCGGCTGTTTACTCATTGCGTGTATCACTCGGAAGCGATCATGCGGAAAATAGCATCCAGAATCGTTCGAGTTTCTTAGGTAAAGGTTCAAACGGTACCTGCGAATGTTAACTTTCGCGATTTGGTAAGCTGTGTTCCGATTGGTCAGTCCAAAAGGTTAGCTGACGCGACGTTCTACTAAGTTTTGTTAGACTCAGTATAGCAGTGTAACGAAAATTACTGAGCCAAGTTTACTGAGACTGACTCTTGGGAAGATTTTCCAAGATATTCAAGGGAATTTGTATGTAGACACATAGATGCCTAATTGACTACCCACAGCACGTTGTTGTTCATGAAGGTGCGTTCTCTAGTTACAGATCCGTCACAGTCATCCAACAAAGTCGGGATAGTGCTGGCTGCCGTGTTTGGATCCATGTTTGGCATGGTCCTCATCATTATCGTTGTGCTTGTATACAGGAGACAGCGTCAAACAGGTCAGTGGAACAAAACACATCAGTGGAACAGCATTACGCTTGTTCATTTCACACTCATCCCGGCTTGTGCTACCCATGTTGCCATCCAGGTGTCTTCTCTGTTACCAGTCCTGGCACCGCCAGTACAAAAATGTGGAATATATTTTCCCGAAATCCCAAATGTAGCAACATGTATGGTTTTATGTATGTAATTGGAAAAGTTATTCGACAGAGGTATTATTTCCCAGTTTCGTTATTTATTTAAACAGATCTGTATGAGACTGTTGAGAAACGTTCCCAACTTTCTCCTTACATTCTCACACTATTATGGTACTGCTAGTTAAAGTGAAATAGAAAATCGTTTGATCAGCTAACCTGATTCAACTGAGAGTTGGGAAATGGATGTCACAACTTTTAATACTTGTTTTGAATGTAAGCGTCAGTGATGTCATGTGAGTTCAACCTGGCTGTGGATTGCCAGGAAAGGTAGACAGCCATGGTAGTGATAGTTCAATCTGGCTGTGGATTGCCTGGAAAGGTAGACAGCTGTGGTAGAGATAGTTCAATCTGGCTGCGGATTGCCAGGAAAGGTAGACAGCTGTGGTAGAGATAGTTCAATCTGGCTGCGGATTGCCAGAAAAGGTAGACAGCTGTGGTAGTGATAGTTCAATCTGGCTGCGGATTCCCTTGAAAGGTAGACAGCTGTGGTAGTGATAGTTCAATCTGGCTGCGGATTGCCAGGAAAGGTAGACAGCTGTGGTAGTGATAGTTCAATCTGGCTGCAGATTCCCTTGAAAGGTAGACAGCTGTGGTAGTGATAGTTCAATCTGGCTGCGGATTCCCTTGAAAGGTAGACAGCTGTGGTAGTGATAGTTCAATCTGGCTGCGGATTCCCAGGAAAGGTAGACAGCTGTGGTAGTGATAGTTCAATCTGGCTGCGGATTCCCTTGAAAGGTAGACAGCTGTTGTAGTGATAGTTCAATCTGGCTGCGGATTGCCAGGAAAGGTAGACAGCTGTGGTAGTGATAGTTCAATCTGGCTGCAGATTCCCTTGAAAGGTAGACAGCTGTGGTAGTGATAGTTCAATCTGGCTGCGGATTGCCAGGAAAGGTAGACAGCTGTGGTAGTGATAGTTCAATCTGGCTGCGGATTGCCAGGAAAGGTAGACAGCTGTGGTAGTGATAGTTCAATCTGGCTGCGGATTCCCTGGAAAGGTAGACCGCTGTGGTAGTGATAGTTCAATCTGGCTGCGGATTCCCTGGAAAGGTAGACAGCTGTGGTAGTGATAGTTCAATCTGGCTGCTAAGATAAAAACCTTGTTGCACCAGCCAAATTCCAGTTGCAATGTAGTGTGTTAAAATATGAGAGGTTTCGGTGCACATTAACATATTTCCGTGATGTAGTACCCCATTCTCTTCCCACAGAGGTTACTTGTCATATCTTCCTACGAACCTCTGTTCTAATACGGCCATATTAGTTCTCTTTTGAAACAACGTCGCTGATTGCACAACTAAATCTAATTGCCTCCAATCACGAGTCTTGAACGCTCACACCATGAAAGGGCCGTATTAGAACAGAGGTTACGTAGGAAGATATGACAGGAGTAACCTCTGTGGGAAGAGAATGGTAGTACCCCTGAAACCATAGCAAAACAGAGAGACACAACTGATCCCTGTTTACAAGAGCTGGCATAGCTAAGACCTGTCTATGAATAGCACTGTTTCAGTGCCATAGCTATTCAAAGTTTAGAAGTTTAAATGAGCCAACATAATCATAATTATGCTTATAATGTTAAATTCATTGTTGATTTATTTCTCAAAAATTTACTTGCACCTGGTGCAAGTTAGACTAATAACTAGGTTACACTTTGTAATATTGGGTTGCACCAGTGCAAGTAACAAAGCACTAAATCAAGCCCTGCATTGTCTTTTTCTGAATAGTTCTGTATATTGAACTTATGCCATTGATGAAAAATTCACAATTGAGAGTTTTAATGGGACATGGTTTATGAGGCAACTATGACCTCTTTATTTTGAGACTGTCGTTGTTTTGGCAAATTGAAATATTATCACTAATAATTTAGTGGATCAAGAATGAGATATTTCAGGGGTTTCTTATTTTGTTTCAGGAAATGGACTCATCAGTGAACACAAGCCAACAAATATTAACAATCTTGGCAGAGGTAACGGGCCCTCAGGTACAAGTTGAACATTATCAGTTTCCTTTGTGTCAAATACATACATATATTATATACTTAAAGCTATCAATTTTCATTTGATATTCAGAGTCTGTGTCCGAACTGTAGCTCAGGTTCCTCCTATGATGAGTCTGTGATAGACAAGCCTTTAATGTGACTTTGTGAGTTCAGTCTTTAGCCCACTACCCAGTCTAGGCTAAATGTCAACTGAGCTCATCCTGCCTCAACTACTTGGCCACACACACACACATACACACGCACACGCAGCACACACACACACACACACACACACACACACACACACACACACACACACACACACACACACACACACACACACACACAGAGTTATTTTAAAGAGTTGTTGTTGACATCAAGACAAATTTGATAAACAAATAATCTATTATCCATCACTATATAAACAAGTATATTTCTAATGTGCCTAGTGGTTGGAGATGGGGATTGTGTTGTTTTGTAATGTTGGACCATGCTTCCAAGGTCTCTCAAAATATATGTTCAGAATATAGTTCCTGAATGAAACCTCTTGACCATTTAAGATGAAAGTTCACTTGCTTGTTCCATCGAACATCTGAATATTTTTCTTTGTCGTGATGACGTCATATTTTGTTCAAAACTCCCAGATTTTACAGTGATTGTGTGAAAAAATTACTTGGAATGTATACAGTGCTCACAGTTAAGACTTTGTGAGTAATAAATGTAACTGATTTGCATTGTAAGTGTTCTAGACTATTACATTTATTCTTGCTGATTTGACAGATTTAGGGAAATTCAGTTACTAGGTTCATATCATCTTCCTTTGCCAAGAGTGTCAACCAGTCATCATCATTGTGTTACTCTTGGGCCATGCTTATGCATTGATACTATGATGTTGTCAGCCCAGGCATGTGTGAAATGGCCTGTATAATATTGTACCTGGGCCTTTATCAAACATTTATGGCAACTGTGTATGTGTTTCAGTTCTTCCAAGGAAGAAGGTGTATTTGCTGTATGCTGAGGACCACAAGGATCATCTGAATGTCATCACCAGTTTGGCTGTGTATCTGAAGGACCAGTGTTACTGTGATGTTTTCTATTTACCCTGGTTCAAGGGTGCATTCCAAGCCATAGGCACCTACCAGTGGATCATATCACACATTGATGAGGCAGACTACGTGATTGTCATCAGCTCAGAGGCAGCGTTCAAACTCCTGGATGCGCGGAACACAAACACGTCTTTGAAGACAGAAGATGAAGGTCCAGAGGGTGACATCTTCTCCCCTGCCATAACCCATGTTAGGACGAAGTCCCTCGAGCCTGATTTCTACAGGAAAACCATCCTTGTACACTTTGACTACACCAGTGAGGATTTTGTCTTGAAGGAAGTGAGTCCTGGTGTCCATTATAAGCTGCCCAAACATTTCAAGGACTTATTGTGTCACATCCATGAAGTTGATGTCTTCGACCATACTCGCGGACATCCAGAGATAGATGCCATGGAGAACCTACAATCCAATAGAAGTGGCCAGACTTTCCAGGAAGCCATCACAAAAGCAAGACATTTCCAGAAATCTGATCCACTGTGGTTTGATAGGAGGTTCCGCCGACAAGATTCAGCATATGAATCAGATCCTGATGGTCACTTTGATTCAGTCTCACTGACAGCAAGTCCTGGTATCACTGGGAGAGATCCTTTTATTGACACTCAGCACCTGAGTGTTGGTGCTCACACAGACAGCGTTGTTACCTACAACACAGACTACATCCGGGAACATGGGCAGCTGATTCCTCCAAGTGAAGTCCCCACTGACACACCAACAGAAATTGTTAACAAACAGTTGGAACACATCAACAACATCACAACATCAACCCGCTGCAGCAGATGCCACTGGTTATGAGTTCTATCCCCAGGACATGTTTGCTCCAAGTGCCATACAGACAGACGTGGACATAGATGAATGCTTTCTTGCCATCAACATGGGTGGACACGCAGGGGATGAAGACCAGGATAACTTTAACCTGCAGCCTAACATCCCTATTGACAATGATGATCTTGTCAGTGGTATTGATGTCTGAAGGATGCCATTGTCAGGCTTTCTGTTGTCTTGACAATTGAAGTCTCAACTGTTTCTGTGTTCATATTTCAAGTATGTTAAACTCACATGTTCAGTCATGTTTTAAGTTGTACTAGTTGCACATATGTAGAAACTCATTCAGTTAGACAAGTGTTGAATCTCATACTCAATCATGTTTGATAGTTCCATGACCATGCCTTGAACTCTTCAATCATCAACCATTAATCAACTGACATCAATCAACTGATTGGGTTCCTGACTGTTAGTGAAACACATGCATGGGGCCTGTATAGGCGACAGTCTGTTTGATAGGAGTTTTGTAAATGAGGGCTAAATGGAGCTAAGCTTAAGTTATCTTGTGCTGGAGCTAGTGAAATACAACTGATTGACATTGACATTGACATTGACATTGACATTGACATTGATTTTAGAGTAATAACACTGAGCAGTGTTTGTTGATTTTGGTTTTATTGTTTGTGGACAAGAATGAAGAATGTCGTTTTGCTGGTCTATATTTGGGGGTTATATTCCTGAACCTCTATATCTTGTCATGGACACTTCTTCACAGCTAACCAGTAGTCGTAAGTCATCACTATGTTTTCAGCAGCTATTGTTGATACTTGTTAATCATATCAGTAAATGCTTTTCGCTTTGGTGCTACAGTTTCATCAGACACTAAATTACGTACCTGTTTTTTTAAAGGATTTGATATTGTTTGAGTAGAGATTCATCATTAAGTCAGAGGAAGAATCACCCATTCAGTAGTGGCCAAAGAGCTTCCATATTAAACTGTAGCATTATATTCAGGATGTGGTAATACTCGTCCACTGCCTCATGAAGAGTTTAATAGTGTCCAGTAGTTTAAATTTTTCAAATATTTAATCAAATCAAAATATACCTCAAACCACTCTAGTACTTAGAGATGTCTCTAAACATACCGGTGATGTTCTTTTGTTTGAAGTCAAGTTTGGAATACCTAGATATTCCACAGATGGGGCACAGCTTGGAAAGTCTTGACAAATAAAATCGATATTCAAAGTATATTTATACAAATTCAAGAAGTCACAACAAACTGTATATTGGCACTGAGTTCTTATATTATAGACTTGTCCTATGTACTTTCATCCAGGTAAATGTTTTGAAACCACAGTTAAAGGCAAATATCTTGCCATTGTATTTACACAAAAGAATTCCATGAAATTGTGGCAGAATTTTATAAGCTTTACTCTGATCGTATATTCGATGTATGTTTGATATATATTTGTTACCTAGACTGAAATCACAATGATTGAGAGTTGTTTAGAATGACATGTATATAAATCATGAAGTTGTCCTGTTTTCACTGTGTTGTACAGTCATGTTATGGCCTAGGAGGGCTACAGTTGTTGACATAATACTAAGCATTATTTGATATTAACCTGCATATTACCTTTGCTTGATGTTTTTGTACAGTTACCTTGGTAATTTTTGCACACCTTGACTCAATACGAGCATGTCAAGCATCCTCTACTGCAGCGTTGACAGACATCATTTGATGTTGACAGTTGTTTAGGTACACAAGCACCAGCAGCTGTATAAAGTGGACAGATGGACTATCTTGTCTCAGAAACAAAATTTTGTAACATACCGTATTTGTTTCGACACATGCTCTTTGATGACATTTTGTGTCGTCAGATGAATGGCTTTCATTTTTCTTCAAGGGAATGTGAGGATGATCTGAGTACATATCAATAATACATTTTCAAATATGATTCTGTGACTTACAGCACCATACCTTAACCATGTAAGCAAATTTATACTGGCATTAAACTAATACTACCGTTTCTATTGTGACAAATGCAGTTTCACTTATTGTTTGATCGGCATTCTAAAAGTTGGTGAGTCAAAAATGAGGCATACAACTTTTGGGATGATGACACCCTCTTGTGTATATTGAGAGACTTTTCGAAGTAGATTCTTACACCGTTATTCAGTTTGACCTACATACCTAAGGGTCCATAGGACCCCAATAAGTGCATTTAAAGGGTCCTCACAGGAAGTATGAGGTTCTTGTAAAGTGTTGAAATGGTAATATACTGAATTGCAAGATGACATACTTCAGTTAGAGGAACTTAATGTTTCTCGTCAAGAATTTGAATGATTGAATATTGTACACCCCTCGGAATGCAATATTATTTGTTTTCCTCATCCTCTCTGTCAGTGTGTGTATACTGGATGCATGAAGTTGCTGTGTTTCATAAAACTCTGGAGATTCATATGTACAACACAACATGTATCTGTCCAAAGATGGTTAGACTCTATGACACTGCGTTATTAGATGAGTCATTTGAAGATACACATCTTGAACAAGTCAGAGGTTACTTGAGAAAAACACATGTGAACTATGTTCAGTAGGTTACACGAAAATTTCTTTTGTGTATAATCCCATGAGATATGGGGACATGAGTGTCTTGGTTTGGTAACATTTTCAAGTTGGTAGTAATAAGACACACAGGATTTCCAATGATAAAGGGCACGTTATATAAAATACTTGGCCTAATTTTTTTACGCTCTCTTAGCGATAAGATTGTCGTAAGTGCCATACATTAACACAAACTTACAACTATCTTAGCGTTAAGAGAAATTCGAAAATCTAGGCCCTGGATTTGGAATTCCTTTCTCTGTCTGAGTTTGAGGGACATTGATTCTGATGACAATCTGCTACCGTTTGTGATAACTGATAGGTTAAAATAAGATCAGATGTGATGTGGGACATGGAAGGTAAGGTTATTTTTTAACCCCTGTTGATGGTGAAAACTCTCCAAATGATGGTGTGGCCCAGTCTTCCAAGCTACCACAATTTGCTGTGCAGAGTTATGCCCCTTGTGGTGCCAGAATCCTATGGATTTAGATCCACATCGCAGTGTGACCTAATTATATTATATGGTTGGTCAGCACCATACCCACACTCATGTGTGTTACATTGAACTCACCATAATCTTACCTGGAATAATGTTTAAAGTGGTATTAAACCCAAAGCCTGTTCCTTGTTCTCAACATCATACACTTGGTCTTGGGCTTCACCAACATATCGGACCTGTGCTCCCATATCGAGCTGACACAATGTGACCACAGCAGTACCAAATTGACCACTCATCATTTTTTTTTGTAGCATTGTTGCAGCAGTGTACTGAGCAGGACCAGGCAATGGGTTGGTTTCCACCAGTGACAATCACTCTTTACCTCGATTTCATCTGATTTTGATAATATTTAGTACTTCACTTTCGTAAGTGGGTGATAGTGGCAATTGTTTTATATACTGACTCGTCTAAATATATTTTTGTAATGATGTCACAGCAATAGTTTAAGAAAATCAGTTGAACATTTTATGTTTGTGTTGATTGTCTTGTCACCAATTGCCCTTTCATTCATGAGAAATGTATAGAAAAGGTCATGACTGAATTTACATGTCGGCCATCATACTTGTCTTATTGGGGATTTTCATTTGGAAACTAAAACCCAAGCAAAACACTTTGTCTTGCCACAATTGGGCATGTTGCTCTAGAAGTTTCATTGACTCTCCATAAGACCTTTAATATATATTCATTGGAGTGCAATACCTTGTGTCTGAGTTAGGGAGCAATCTGTTGCATCACTTCTTGTTGCAGTGTCACACTTTTTGATGAATATATATTATTATTTTTTGTGTTGATACAGTTTTACTGAATCAGTGTTTACATTTGGACATTGAAACACCTGAAACTCACTGGCCATATGTTTTTCAGTATGACCTGGTGTGGTCCAAGATCCATTGTCAAATATGCAAATGTGATAACTAAATATCTAATTATGATGCACTTATGAATTGCATATGCTTTTTCATTTAATTTGTCCAATTTTACATCAAATACCTGCACAGACTCATCAAGATGCCTTAATTGTAAAAAGAACATTATTTGCTTCCTTCATACTAAAAAGTATACTCAAATAAAACTTCTATGACTATGACAGGGTGTTCATGATCATTGACAATGGTGAATGTGACCTGTTACACTGTTATTGCCATACCGGTACTTTAGGCCTACTTTCCATGATCGTCTTTGATTGGCAGTCTAGAACTTGAGGAGATGAAGATTGTGGACAATTTTTATGGATATACAACTTCTTTATTCTGTATAGGCAACGGTTCGGCATAGATTCTGATGTTGCTATCAAACTAGTGGTTAGAATCTATGTCAAAACGTTGCCTATACAGAATAAAGAAGTTGTATATCCATACTAATTGTCCTCATGTTTCATTTTCCATGATCGTTTTACTATGTGAGAGGACTGTGAGTCATACAGTAGACATGTAGTGGTCTAGGACTCTTACTGTGGTTCATGCTACTAAAAGAATCACAAGTGTGTGGGTGACACCACTACATAGTTTTGATGCAGTTCCTGGCACAACTGTATGGGTGGCACCACTTTATGGGTGACACCACTGCATAGTTTTGATGCAGTTACAAGCACAACTGTATGGGTGACACCACTACATAGTTTTGATGCAGATACAAGCACAACTGTATGGGTGACACCACTTCATAGTTTTGATGCAGTTCCTGGCACAACTGTATGGGTGACACCACTGCATACTTTTGATGCAGATACAAGCACAACTGTATGGGTGACACCACTGCATAGTTTTGATGCAGTTCCTGGCACAACTGTATGGGTGACACCACTACAAAGTTTTGATGCAGGTACAAGCACAACTGTATGTGTGACACCAATACATAGTTTTGATGCAGTTCCTGGCACAACTGTATGGGTGACACCACTGCATACTTTTGATGCAGTTCCTGGCACAACTGTATGGGTGACACCACTGCATAGTTTTGATATAGTTCCTGGCACAACTGTATTGGTGAAACCACTACATAGTTTTGATATAGTTCCTGGCACAACTGTATGGGTGACACCACTACAAAGATTTGATGCAGCTCCTGGCACAACTGTATGGGTGACACCACTACATAGTTTTGATGCAGTTCCTGGCACAACTGTATGGGTGACACCACTACATAGTTTTGATGCAGATACAAGCACAAGTGCATAGTTTTGGTTCAAATACAAGCACAACTGTATGGGTGACACCACTTCATAGTTTTGGTGCAAATACAAGCACAACTGTATGGGTGACACCACTACATAGTTTTGATGCAGATACAAGCACAACTGCATAGTTTTGGTGCAAATACAAGCACAACTGTATGGGTGACACCACTGCATAGTTTTGATGGAGTTCCTGGCACAACTGTATGGGTGACAGTACTGCATAGTTTTGATGCAGTTCCTGGCACAACTGTTTGGGTTACACCACTGCATAGTTTTGATACAGTTCCTGGCACAACTGTATGGGTGACACCACTACATAGTTTTGATGCAGATACAAGCACAACTGTATGGGTGACAGCACTACTTAGTTTTGATGCAGTTCCTGGCACAACTGTATGGGTGACACCACTACATAGTTTTGATGCAGATACAAGCACAACTGTATCGGTGACACCACTACTTAGTTTTGATGCAGCTCTTAGCACACCTGTATGGGTGACACCACTACATAGTTTTGATGCAGTTCCTGGCACAACTGTATGAGTGACACCACTACATAGTTTTGATGCAGTTCCTGGCACAACTGTATGGGTGACACCACTACATAGTTTTGATGTAGTTACAAGAACAACTGTATGGGTGACACCACTACATAGTTTTGATACAGATACAAGCACAACTGTATGGGTGACACCACTTCATAGTTTTGGGGCAGTTCCTGGCACAACTGTATGGGTGACACCACTGCATAGTTTTGATGCAGTTCCTGGCACAACTGTATGGGTGACACCACTGCATAGTTTTGATGCAGTTCCTTGCACAACTGTATGGGTGACACCACTACATAGTTTTGATGCACTTACAAGCACAACTGTATGGGTGACACCACTACATAGTTTTGATGCAGATACAAGCACAACTGTATGGGTGACACCACTTCATAGTTTTGATGCAGTTCCTGGCACAACTGTATGGGTGACACCACTTCATAGTTTTGATGCAGTTCCTGGCACAACTGTATGGGTGACACCACTGCATAGTTTTGATGCAGATACAAGCACAACTGTATGGGTGACACCACTGCATAGTTTTGATGCAGTTCCTGGCACAACTGTATGGGTGACACCACTACATAGTTTTGATGCAGATACAAGCACACCTGTATGGGTGACACCACTTCATAGTTTTGATGCAGTTCCTGGCACAACTGTATGGGTGACACCTCTGCATAGTTTTGATGCAGTTACAAGCACCACTGTATGGGTGACACCACTACATAGTTTTGATGCAGATACAAGCACAACTGTATGGGTGACACCACTTCATAGTTTTGATGCAGTTCCTGGCACAACTGTATGGGTGACACCACTACATAGTTTTTGATGCAGATACAAGCACTGTATGGGTGACACCACTGCATAGTTTTGATGCAGTTCCTGGCACAACTGTATGGGTGACACCACTACATAGTTTTGATGCAGATACAAGCACAACTGTATGGGTGACACCACTACATAGTTTTGATGCAGTTCCTGGCACAACTGTATGGGTGACACCACTGCATAGTTTTGATGCAGATACAAGCACAACTGTATGGGTGACACCACTGCATAGTTTTGATGCAGTTCCTGGCACAACTGTATGGGTGACACCACTACATAGTTTTGATGCAGGTACAAGCACAACTGTATGGGTGACACCACTACATAGTTTTGATGCAGCTCCTAGCACACCTGTATGGGTGACACCACTGCATAGTTTGATGCAGTTCCTGGCACAACTGTATGGGTGACACCACTACATAGTTTTGATGCAGTTCCTGGCACAACTGTATGGGTGACACCACTACATAGTTTTGATGCAGGTCCAAGCACAACTGTATGGGTGACACCACTACATAGTTTTGATGCAGCTCCTAGCACACCTGTATGGGTTACACCACTGCATAGTTTGATGCAGTTCCTGGCACAACTGTATTGGTGAAACCACTACATAGTTTTGATGCAGTTCCTGGCACAACTGTATGGGTGACACCACTACAAAGATTTGATGCAGTTCCTGGCACAACTGTATGGGTGACACCACTACATAGTTTTGATGCAGTTCCTGGCACAACTGTATGGGTGACACCACTACATAGTTTTGATGCAGATACAAGCACAACTGTATGGGTGACACCAGTGCATAGTTTTGGTGCAAATACAAGCACAACTGTATGGGTGACACCACTACATAGTTTTGATGCAGATACAAGCACAACTGCATAGTTTTGGTGCAAATACAAGCACAACTGTATGGGTGACACCACTGCATAGTTTTGATGCAGTTCCTGGCACAACTGTATGGGTGACACCACTGCATAGTTTTGATGCAGTTCCTGGCACAACTGTATGGGTGACACCACTGCATAGTTTTGATGCAGTTCCTGGCACAACTGTATGGGTGACACCACTACATAGTTTTGATGCAGATACAAGCACAACTGTATGGGTGACAGCACTACATAGTTTTGATGCAGTTCCTGGCACAACTGTATGGGTGACACCACTACATAGTTTTGATGCAGATACAAGCACAACTGTATGGGTGACACCACTGCATAGTTTTGATGCAGTTCCTGGCACAACTGTATGGGTGACACCACTGCATAGTTTTGATGCAGTTCCTGGCACAACTGTATGGGTGACACCACTACATAGTTTTGATGCAGTTCCTGGCACAACTGTATGGGTGACACCACTGCATAGTTTTGATGCAGTTCCTGGCACAACTGTATGGGTGACACCACTGCATAGTTTTGATGCAGTTCCTGGCACAACTGTATGGGTGACACCACTACATAGTTTTGATGCAGATACAAGCACAACTGTATGGGTGACACCACTACATAGTTTTGATGCAGTTCCTAGCACAACTGTATGGGTGACACCACTACATAGTTTTGATGCAGTTCCTGGCACAACTGTATGAGTGACACCACTACATAGTTTTGATGCAGTTCCTGGCACAACTGTATGGGTGACACCACTACATAGTTTTGATGCAGTTCCAAGCACAACTGTATGGGTGACACCACTGCATAGTTTTGATGCAGATACAAGCACAACTGTATGGGTGACACCACTACATAGTTTTGATGCAGATACAAGCACAACTGTATGGGTGACACCACTGCATAGTTTTGATGCAGTTACTGGCACAACTGTATGGGTGACACCACTACATAGTTTTGATGCAGTTCCAAGCACAACTGTATGGGTGACACCACTACATAGTTTTGATGCAGTTCCTGGCACAACTGTATGGGTGACACCACTACATAGATTTGATGCAGTTCCTGGCACAACTGTATGGGTGACACCACTGCATAGTTTTGATGCAGTTCCTGGCACAACTGTATGGGTGACACCACTACATAGTTTTGATGCAGTTACAAGCACAACTGTATGGGTGACACCACTGCATAGTTTTGATGCAGTTCCTGGCACAACTGTATGGGTGACACCACTGCATAGTTTTGATGCAGATACAAGTACAACTGTATGGGTGACACCACTACACAGTTTCGATGCAGATACAAGCACAACTGTATGGGTGACATCACTACATAGTTTTGATGCAGTTACTTGCACAGCTGTAAGGGTGACACCACTACATAGTTTTGATGCAGTTCCTGGCACAGATGTATGGATGACACCACTACATAGATATGATGCAGTTTCTGGCACAACTGTATGGGTTACACCACTGCATAGTTTTGATGCAGTTCCTGGCACAACTGTAATGGTGACACCACTGCATAGTTTTGATGCAGTTACAAGCACTACTGTAAGGGTGACACCACTACATAGTTTTAATGCAGATACAAGCACAACTTTGTCGGTGACACCACTACATAGTTTTGATGCAGT